TGATCAGCTGATCCATCTAAATTGACAGCTGCAATACTGTAGTTCCTCGTATACACTAAATTCTATCTAATATTGACCTCTGATGGCAGCATATCGCTCGATGACTTGGTCTACCATTCCATCGAAACTCGGGATGTAGCCGTGCAGGCCCTGTGAGAGACCAAACCCGGGGTAGTCCATTGCGAAGACTGCATAGCCCGCATCTGCAATCCTCTTCGCAATCCCTGATAATTTTCCTTGGTGTGACAATCAAGATAGACATGAACAGTTTATAAACAAAGTGATAAAAGTTTGCTAACCCTCGAAGAAGAATGTGCAGGTGTCACCATAGCCATGGCAAAAGAAGAGGGCCGCTTTAGTGGTGGTACCAGGTTTCGGCAGCCAGCTCTTCCAGAATATCTCCATTCCTTTGGAATTTGTCTTGTATCTCTGCCACATGGTGCAGCACATTTTACACACATTAGAATCTGCACTGTGTGTTCTTCCAAAAGAATGAAGTCCATAACACATTCCACTCAGAAGTACTGGCATTTGATTTAAAGTTTTTGGCATGATTAGTGCATCTGAAACGCTTCAAGATCAAATTCTTTCTTGATTCCAATCTAATGGTCAAAAGAAGGGGATCTAATAGCGTGATGCTCTGTTTAATTTGATTTATTCCATATAGTGACTCAAATAACTACTGTTTTCATTTTTTTCCTTTTGTATTTGTGGTAAATCTTTGAGCTCTAAAACTATATACGTTTGTACAGTAGCTCAATTTATGCCATCAATGATGATTTCGTATATGCAGTTGACAAAAATCACGAAATAAAATATATTTCTCATGCCAAAACACTTAAGGTATAATCGATCATCTTTATGATCCCTGAATATCTAAGCGCATTGTAATGAATTTTAAATGGAAAGAATGGGCTTGATACATCGAAAGAAGCCACTCTATACTTATCTACGATATGATCGTTGCATGAACTAAAGATGAGAGGACTTAGTTTTCTGAAACATATGCGGTATGCCCAAATAATTTCAACCTTCTGCAGGGCAATGGATGCAAAGACATCAATCCCTCACAAAATGTGTGCAATAACTCTTGATTCTTGGTAACTAGTATTAAACCTCAACGACGCCGACTCACCTCCTCCATCTGAATTCCAGTCGGAGCCATCTGAAAGAATCAAGAAAGGAAACAAAATCAAATCAAAGATCGAAACTAGAAAATGCCAAAGGAAGTCCGCTCCTTCTCCGGCCAAGCCAGAGCCGGATCTCCTGGGGGGGGGGACGGTGCCGGGGGACCTTGAACAAGAAGTGGTCGAGGCGGCGCTGAACGTCGGCGAAGGCGGCGCGGACGCGGCGACGAGCGGGTGCGAAGTCCAGGTTCTCCGCGGCCACGGCGTTGAGCTCGTCGCTGACCCCTTCGATGGCCTTCCTCGCCGCCGCGACGGCGACTGCCACCCTCCTCGGGGGTCCCGTCACTCGGCGCCACCGGATCGGGTGGTGGCGAGCGATCGGCCCGATCGCGGCCGTGGAGATCGCCATGAGACCGCTCTCCGAAGAGATCGACACCCCCAACACTCGCTTCCGTGGGGTGGCTTCGGACAAATCACCGACTCCCACGGCGAGCGACGTGAGCCACGTGGGGTAGTTACAGTCACGTGCCGATGGGTATTATGACCCCAAGAAGGGCAGTTGAAGTCTACTAATTATAATTAAAATCTCGAATCAAATATTAAATTTACATGCAATATTATTCATTTTCATATTATATAATATAAGGTCGGTGCGTCCTTAATATGACTGACTGCCAGATGTCATGTTTCCTCGGCCAGCAACGTGAACACGTGCCAGTAAATAATGGTGTTCTTTAAACCGGCCTCATGCCCGAGCCCAAACCAAAACGGCCCATTTAAACCGGAAACGGCCCAAAATAATTCGGAAGAGATGAATAATACGAATCTACAAGCACGTAAACACATAAGCTCAGCGATGCACGTACGTTCCTTCTTTCTCGGATCCTGTCGACTTGCAACGCACGCGTGAACACGTACGAAGTACGTGAACAGTACATGCGTGTTCGGGCTCCTGAGAAGTTCCCGAGAAGACAACTGTGGTTGGATCGGCACGCGAGAGAAGGCACTATTCCTTGTGAATCTGGTCGGCTTTGCAAGGATAAGTAGTAGCTCATTCATCTTCCTCTTGAGTTGTTTAAGAGCTTCATGAACAGCAGTTTATCATCGCCAAAAAGAATCGTATGAGCTCGATCGGAATCAGGTGGCAGAAAGCCAAATCCAGTACTGCATCCTAAATGTAAAGGAGACATCTTTGGACGCTACGAAGTTTGAAAACGAAGAATGCTAGTGGTCTACGAGTATCTAATCTAAGCAGCAGTTAGTGGCCATGGCATCTTATATCGACCTTAGGTTTATTATAAGAACTTGTATATGTTTAATTCCACTTGGGATTAGAAGATAGTTTAGGTGTCTCCTTTCCCTACTAATGGGGTTTTAGGGTTTTAAAGTTGGCTGCATGCCATGTGATCAGAGGAGGAAATCAAAAAGACAAAGACAGGCAGGTCACAAAGGTGTCTCCTTCCTCTACTGGACTTGGTTCTGCTCTCACAATTTGTTCCACTAGAGAACTAGTGTATGTTAGGTGTGTTCTTGGCAGAAGGCTTGAAACAACACCACATCTGCACTTCATGTTATGAGCTGACATCATTCATTAATCTCCAATGTGGAGTACCTACTTGTCATAATAATACATCATCTGTCATTGTTTGCAGTCCCATGATATAAAACACAGAAGAAGCTATGCCAACATTGCCAATATACATTGAACTTGAGCAGTAGCCATTAGGAACCAAAGCTAGGACTTGTGGTGTAGAGATGCTTCTTGTCTGTAACCATCGGTTTAGGTGTGAGGAGCATGCAGACATGGTGTAAGCTGTCAAGCAATTGTTTGGCCCTCCATGGTCCATCTTGGATGAAGCTTTTTCCAGCATGATGTTGAGGTGTAGTCGCATGCATCAGATGTAGGTGCGAGCTCTTCTGTTGGTGCAGTGAGACAATTGCACAGCAGCTGAAGCTGTGGATGCTGCATGCCACATTCTTATGTCATTGGTCGGAAGGTATAAGCTTTTGCAACAACTTCCAGTAGGGTCTCCTCTGACCTCTCTCGAGTTGTTCCATGAACGCTCACTGGCAGCAGCATCTCTCTTGTTCAGCTGCTTCATGGTTAGACTAATAAGAAAAACCGAAAACCCGAGGTTTGCTTCATCTTTTAGGAACAAATGCTCGCAATGAGGGAGGTGACAGATCACTTTCTGGGTAGATCAGCACCAAAATCCTCGTAGCCCACTGTTTATCTAATTCTATATAATTTGATTTTGCTACCAAAATTCCTCAAAACAGTGAAGACACATAAATATCCATGGTTAGATCCTCACTGGTCCAAGCTCGGTTAAAGAAAAGCTAGTTCTTAGCGGCAATGGACTTCTTGATAACCTAACACCAAGAAAGGTGTCAAAACATAGGATGACGAACACTGCGACGCTGGAACTGATATCGTGTAATGCATGCTCAGTCTTGACAGGCTGCGTGGCCAAGGAACAAGGCTCTCTTTGATTGATATGTGACATTGTTGCACCACATTGAGTGAATGTTGAAGTTGACCGCACCCCTGCAACGACAAGGTTTACTGTTTTGCAGTAGCCCTTCTTGCTTTGTTTGTGTTCATGGTGGTGGTGTTCGTGAAAGGGGTTGCTACAGTCCAATAAATAGAACATGTTTGTGGAAATACCTCTGGTTTCCCTTGTGCTCCGTGTTGCTGTGGTGGATGCTTTGCATGTAGCTGAAGAAACAAGCCGGAATTGGCACCATCTCGAAGAATCAAGCACTGCACCAATGCAATCCAATGTCAGTGATGAGGAGGGTCAGATGTTTAGGGTTGATAGCATTTCTTTGGAAGAGGAGGAAGAAGCTGAAACCGACGTGAATCCATACCGCAATGCAGGAGTCCCTTTCTCGACAGATCTCCCACATATCCAACCGTGCAGGGTTGTCCTTCTCAGGATGGTTCAGTGCATGAAGCTACGAGCAGCTTCTGCATCAGTTAATGGCAATTTCAGGGAGGTCGTATCATCATTTACTTCAATTATGGGCAAAGACATGATGATGGACTCGATACTAAGCAACTGTTTGTCGAAATGAAATCTTAGTTTTGGGATGTTAATCTTTACCACAGCACTCGTAATAGTCATTTGGTCTATGATGGGGTCAGTTCATGAGAATGGTCGATGAGCAGACTCGGTCAACACAATTATGGGTGTGTTCCCCAGCCGAGGCATGGTGGTGGCTTCCCTCCCTCCCAAGACCACAACATGAGTGCTCTCCTCCTGCAGATCATTAAACAACTATGAGTATGAGCAAGAAGAAGAGCACAGATGAAACAGAGGCACTGGATATATTGTGGGGCACATGCCCTTGACCCAACTCCCCCCCTGAGACCAAATGGGGCTCCAGTGGCCAGCATCAGTGCCCTCCTCTGGTCTGGCTGAACCCTGGCAGGCCATGGGTGCCCCCACCACAGCTCCCCCCTCAAGGACAGACAGCCTCTACTGCTGGGGTCCGATCCCAAGGCACTTGGCATGGCCCATGACTCCATTCTCCCGTTTCCTCCTCTTCTCCACATCCACTTCCCAATTCCATAGGGTAATAATATGAAGTGTTACGAGGCCTGCCCAGGTAGCAGCAGCGCAGACTGCTCCTCCCTCCTTATTTTATCTCCATTCCCATGTTTGTATTCTTTAACCACACTGCTTTGGAAATTGAGCCCGAGAGAGAGAGAGAGAGAGAGAGAGAGAGAGAGGGGGAAGCCGAAGGGAATGGAACTTTTGAGAGGGCAGAACACAAGCACTGACTGCTTGTCTGGCATGGTAAATGGAATGATTAACCTAATTAAAATAAGCAGGGTGGTTAATGGCTTTTATAAGGAAGCTCCATCCACTCTGCAAGTCCAGTGAATGATATATATAGGGAGTGGGAGAGGGAGAGGGAGAGACAGCACAGAGACAAGCCAACAAACATCAAGAACAGCATGAGTTGAGGGAATACTACTCATCCCATTGCCATTCCTACACCAATCTTTCCTCTCCTTTTGCATGTCAATTCTGTAGGAAGACAACCCACCTGAAGCTGTGGCATGCCACTGTGCTCCCTTGCCTTCCATTTCTTAGGCCAAGCATTCATTGGTCGGGCTATATGAGAATTCTACTCGGCGGAGGGGGCAACACAGCTCTACTGCCTTACCTCCATCGGCCGGCTTCAGTGCGCCGCAGCCTCACGACTGTCGCAGTGGTTCCGGGCATGTGCCGGAGATGTTACTCCTCTCATCATTATTGGGTCGAAGGCAATGATGATGAGGGGCGGAAGGAGAGCGTGGTGGTGGTCATGGGCGCCACTGGGACGGGGAAGTCGAAGCTGTCCATCGAGCTGGCCACCAGGTTCTCGGGCGAGGTGGTGAACTCCGATAAGATTCAGGTGTACCGGGGGCTTGACGTCACCACCAACAAGATGCCCGTCGTGGAGCGCTGCGGCGTTCCACATCATTTGCTGGGAGAGGTTGACCCGGCCGCGGGCGAGGTTTCGCCGGCGACGTTCCGGGAGATGGCGGCCCGCGCTATTGCCGGGATTAACGGCCGCGGCCGGCTGCCGGTGGTGGCCGGCGGGTCCAACTCCATGGTACATGCTGCCATGGCCGGTAGCTACGACCCCGAGCGGAGTCCATTCGCGGCGGACTGGCGGTGGAGGAGGAAGAGAAGGGAGGGGGCGCTGCGGTACCGATGCTGCTTCCTGTGGGTGGACGTGGAAGCGGCGGCGTTGGCGGACCAGCTCGACCGGCGGGTGGAGGAGATGGTGGCGGCTGGAATGGTGGAGGAGCTGGGCCGGTACTTCGCGGCGGAGGTGGAGTCGGACGCTGGGGAGCTAAGACACCCGGGGCTGGCGAAGGCTATCGGGGTGGCGGAGCTCCGGGAGTACTTCCGGGGGGAGGGGCGGGGGACGGCGGCGGCGTACCAGGCGGCGATGGCGGCCATCAAGGCCAACACGCGGCGGCTGGCGGAGGAGCAGGTGCGGAAGATCGAGCGGCTGGAGGAGATGGGGTGGCCGCTTCGGAGGCTAGACGCAACCGCGACGGTGACAGCGCGTCTCGCCGGGTCAGCTACGGAGCAAGCTGAGGCGGCGTGGGAGAGGGACGTGGCGGGGCCCAGCTCTGCGGCGGTGGAGCAGTTCTTGAAGGAAGCGGTGGAAGGCCACCACGCCGTGTCTTCTCATCTGATTTATACTTGAGATTTTGGTCGGCTGGTGGTTCTTTCCACACACACTCTCTCTCTCTCTCTCTGTCTTCCAAAATAACAGAAGAAAAGGAAAGGTGTTTAAAGATCGAAGCTTTTCTTGTTTTACTGGAGAGAGATTTCTCGCGGGCTGGCCGAGGGAATCGGTGGGGAAAGAAGGAGACGCCAGTCGAGAACAAGGTCGGCAAAGGGCCTAATCCGGCTCGGTTTGGGCCGTCTGAGATAAGCTCGGACCAACCGGTGCGGGGCCGCCTTCGCAAACTTGAAATGCCCGGCTCACATCACATGATCTCAGAGTCGAAATGTAGGGGAATGAACAGGAATCACCATTATCTTGAATCGTCTCCCACTGCATGCTGTTGTCACCGATGGCTTCTTTCTGCTCTCTCTCCTCCTCCTCCTCGTTAATCTCATGCCCTCTATTCCCTTTCTTTCTCGTTATTTATGGTTTGCTCCTCCTCTTCTTATCAAGTTACAAGGTTTCATCTCCCAAGCTCATGATCATTAATTTTGAGTGCATTTAAGCTAACTAACCATCTCTAATCCCTAAAAGGAAATTAGATTTTCTTTAAATCCTGTGTGTTTAAAGACGATGGTCTCTACAGTGGAAATGACAGTGGAAGCATCTCCAGTCCAAAGTCGCATGCCATGCAAGCATAGAATAGTTTGACGAGGACAGACGCTTTCCATGTCTCCCGTGGGGCTGTGATTACGAGAAGCGAGCATCTCATCGTCGGCGCTGACGACTGATGTGCGTTGATGCGACGTCGCCACCTTCTTGCGTCCCATTCGCCGTCGCCGTGCTTCTTCGAGCCGCTACTACGTGACCTGCACCAATTTGTACGGTCCTTACGTGGGAGAAGGCCATGCCCGGCAGCCACCATGCCGATCGACATCAGCAACTTAACCTCACTGAATATGAACATTTACGTAAAGATATATTTGAAATATTAAAAGTTTTTAGAATATGATTGTATAGTAAAAAAAAGGATTATAAATGGAAATCGTCTTTATTAATCAATCAATGATCAAATTAATCCCCATTAAACTGCGTCAAGGTTATATTGCCAGGGATGATACTGCTTTGGAAGGAGTCTCGAACAAGGAAAACAACTATCAATTGCCATCAAACCGATTTGGCGATTAGACCGGATCGATTTGATGAGATTAATTACAAGTTCAAACCGATCGGAATCGGACGGACAACAAATTTTGTACACGGGTTTTGGTCATTCGGTCATTTGGGCGAGGGCAAAAGTGGCAATCGCCTTTCACGCCATGTCTCGACCACCAGCGGCGATCGGCCCCTCCTCAAATCCGCGGCCGTTATCACTCCGCCGTCGTCGCCCACGAACACCCGCCCGTCCAAGCCGGCGACGCCCACCACCCTCCGCCTCAGGATGGGCCACCACTCGGCGGCGGCCGCTGGGGTCAGCTGCCCCGCCGACCTTGCGTCCCACACGGTCACCGCCGCCCCACCTGCCCCCGCGCCCTCCGCGGCCGATACAACCACCGCGGGCGTCGCCAGGCTGGCCGCGGCGGCGGGGAACTCGGCGTGGAACGACCTCAGCACCTCCCCGCGGTCCAGGTCCATGAGCGAGATCAGGCCGCCGGCGCGATCGAACCCTATCCCCAGCCCCTCCCACGTCCTCACCACAGCGCCACCCAAGGTCAGATCCAGACCACCGTCCCGCCCCCGGTCGTCCCAGTAACTTCCGGGCGCGGAGTCATGCTCGTCGGACGATGACGAGGGCGCCTCATCCTCCTCCTCCTCCTCCTTCTCATCCTCATCAGACGGCGAGTCGGAGTCGGAGTCGGAGTCGGAGTCTTCCCCGGAGGAGCAATAGCAGGCGGGGGGAGAGGTGGACGATCTGGGCCTCCCGTACCTGAGGAAGGCGAGCTTTGCCCGGCCGAGGACGCTGAGGAAGGCGGCGAATCCGGCGACGAGGAGGGCGAGGGAGGCCCAAGCGCCGGTGAGGTCGGAGAGGAGTCGGGCGACGAGGCCGGGGATCCGCAATGGCTCCGCCACAAGAGGTGTCTCCATCAAACCCCCTAACCCTAATAATCCTTTGGGGAAACAGAGGTTGGGAACCGAGAAGAGGGAGGCGGCGGACGGAGGCAGGGGGGGGTTAAAATAGAGAAGCGAAACACGTTAGGGGCGGAGGCAACGACTGACGTGGCGGAACGAGATTACCACGCTGAGTCAGCACGTCATCGGCGTGGGGTCGCGGGGCGAGGATCCCCTGTCTCGAGCGGCACCGCCGAACGACCTTATCCACCACGTGGGCGTCGAGGATCCGGAAGGTTTTGTGTGGAAAAGGCTGTTCCCTGGCCGAGAAGAGACAGGGAAATATCGCGCTAGTGGCCGGGTACCGGTCGGAGGAAACGCGTGGATAAGCGCGTGACACTTGGTGAGTTGGGTTAGTGGTACGAGAGGAGACGGCGCCGCGAGAGGGAGTGCGAGGGGGTTTGAATCCTGTATCCTGGATGATATAAGCGCAAAAGGAAAGCCAGCACATCTGCGGCTCCAGCGGTGATGGACGAGTAAGAAAAGGTCGGACCACGTGGCGCCTGCCGATTGGAGGAACCCCTGGGACTGTATCGACGGGGCGGAGGTTAACGTGAGGCAGGAGCGCACGTTGTTGGGATGGGTAATTGGGTGACGAAGAAGAAACGTGGTCAGAGTCGCATATCCATGGTTTGGACATTAAGCTGACGTTGTAGAAGATTTACTTGAGTCAAAGCGTGGAAGGGAAGAGGGTGGGAAGCTTCTCGTGGGGGGAACGAGAGCAAATCTTGTGCACACCAACATCCTTAAATCCCTCGTGGGTGGAATTAAAGATACATGGTTTACATTTGTTTTCGTCAAACGCTGACCGGATTAGCTTTACATTTTGATGCCATCAGTGGGTGGAATTCGGATGGAGTGAAGGAACCTTTGCTAGCGTCATCCATGACCGCAAAAAATCAATCTCATCTAAGTCTCATCGAAACGAAAGAACACCAGCAAAGGAATATTCGCGAGGTATCACAAGAAGACGACTTATTTAACGCGCTTATATCGTCTTGTGAAACATCCAGGTAGAGGGTATAATAAATACATTAACATCATCTGCTAACACTTGTAGTATACTTGGAAGATTGAAAGAAGAGACTCACGCGCTCACTTCTTCGCGACGAGGACGGGGCACTCGGCATGATGCACACAGTAGTTGCTGACACTCCCTAGAAAAGCCCTGTTGCATCATATACGATTGGACGATAAATGCTGAGATGTAACTTCTTCGATAATAGCGGTGAAACAGCATAGAAAGATGAATAGGAATCTCTAAGCAAAATAAAGACTACAGATATAATGAACCCTAAACCGAAGTTCACATGTTCACTTGTGTCTGAAAGGATTTCAAGCAGAAGTAAAATTACGAACTTAAGTCATAACTCGAACAGAATTGTTGAGAGATTATTTGTCTTTGGTTTTGGATTTTGCATGTGTAAGTAGCATGTCCGCTTCGGGAAGGATCATATAGAATAATTAGAGCTGGAAGGGGCAAATTCCTAGTTAGATGAAGGTCAATTTGAAGCTCATCCTGACACTCCTGACATGAATTGTCAATTGTCATACATGCTCGATGACAGGTTAAATGACATTCACAAACAATTTTCCGTTTCCATTAAGAAATTGTGGCTGTTGTCCTCATCATGGCAAGTTACAAATTTGCTAATATTTAAAGTCTGTAAAACATGGCCATTCGTCCACAAATCTTGATCTTATAGATAGCATGCAAATGTTAACTACCATCTAGATCTGGAATACAGATTGTGAAAGTTGGACAACTCAAGGGATAATGCTATAGAAATTGAATTATCCAAGATTTCAATTCATTTAAGCATGGACAATCAGATGAAGTTCTTAAGGGGCATTAGTCTACTGCTAGGGTAGTCGTTCATGAGGCAAATGAAAGTATAGACTTGAAAAACACAGCATCCTGATTCCTGAGCAACTTGTATTAGTTCACCTCAACCAACAAAAGTAGGCTGAAGTATTACAGGACAGTTTAGAATTCTTTAGTTCCACCTTATTAAGAAGGAACCAACCTTTTTTGTCTCTGTGATACTCCTCTATCTGTCTATAATATTAATATAAATTTCTTGTGTTGTCCAAAATATATTTGATGAGTAAAGCAGTTCACACGGCGGCTATACCAATCTCTATCATACTGCTTTGAACAGCATGAAGGATACGACCAATGGATTTGTACAATTTAAGAAAAGGAGAATTAGAGAATGCTCATCTACAGATATTAATTTCAAAGTATGGCCTACTATCAAGATAGATGCAAGAGACAAAAAATATACAAGGAAAAGAATTGAAGGGAATGAGAGTGCACACCTCTGTAAGGCTCCTTTACCATGGCTTCCCACAACAAGCAAGTTGACATTCAACTTTTTGACTGCTTCACATATGGCTTCTTTTGGATCCCCTACCTCTGTAATTGTTTCTGCAACCACCTGAGATGCAAGAAAATGTCACTAGAACATTTTCCAGTAATTTAACAACAGTGTATGAGAATGACTGCCTGTGTTAAGGGCATTCTCAAAGTATGTGCTACAAAAGATGTTGACATTCTTATTATATATTATCATTACCGATGAAGTATAAATGAAGTATGAGATATATGACAATGGAATAGACAATGTGATATTGTTCACATAATAATGAATTTAACTTTAGCTTATATACTCTTGTTCCTGTAGTACATAAGACTTAAAAAGAAGACCAATTGGACAAATAAGGAACAGTTGTGGCTCTTGTACAAATGGGTAATGCTTCGGGATGAATATCATAAAAAAAAGTTATCTCACAACTCATTACAAAGAAAACAACTAAGAAAATTTTCGTCTTCATACCCTATGAATGCAAGGTCTGCAAAATTTGAGAATGAGATTGACCATCAGTAAGATAGGGATCGAGATCAGGATCAAACTCAGCTTCAGCCAGCCCTATTTCCAGATGAGCCATGAGTTGGATAACAATGTGGTGTTCCAATCAACAAGTTTTGTGGCCTATTTTGACCCATAAATCATACACATATGAGAGGACAAGTTGCAGACAGCATTCAGAATACAAGTAGAAGATGAAGGAATCCTAAATCTAGTGGGACGGTTCAACCTTCTACAAGTTGGAAAGTTAGGATTAATCATAGGGCAGTAGCCCTAAGTCAAGTTGTGCTTGATTGTGGCCAGGGCTACCTATTGATCCAGTACAATAATCTGACCATGTACTTGATGCATAGACAAGCATAAATTCCTACAGGATAATGTGTGTTATATTGGAAAATTGACTCCCCTAAAAATATAAATGCAAACCCTAAAGCTAATGTTTTTTAAAACCTAGCATTGCTTCAGTTGTCAGTAACTTGTCAAAATCTGAAATTGTTTAACTTATGACCACGAGCTTTAGAGTAATTTGGTAGAGGGAATGCAAGAATGAAAGATCAAATCAAAATGCCATTAGTAGGAATATCAAATGAAATAAAATTAAGAATGCATCATTTTAATACATTCTAAAACTGAGCTAAGACAAGGACGGATATATAGAGAGACTAGCGGTCATACCCCGTACTGAGCACAGATCTCCGTCGCCTTCTCTAGGAGAGCAACCGAAGCCTGCTTCTGTTGCTGCTGCACCGATTGGATCAACTCCATAGCTAAGGAAAGAAAACCACAAAGACAACAGATCAGAAACATTTCATCGAACACCTGACAAGCGACACATGGACTGAAAACAACCGGTCGAATTAGTTTAAGAGAGAAAGCATCGAGATCTGATTGACGTACGAGGGGAGCCGAGGGAGGCGGCAGTCAGGTAGGCGAAGTCGGTGAGGGGCTGGACCGTGAATATGATGAGGGGCAAGGAGGAGAGGGACTCGCGGAGGTTGGCGAGCACCCACTCGAGGGCGTGGTGGCTGCACTCGCTCTCGTCGATGGCCACCATCATCCTCTTCGGCTTGCCGCCGCCACCTTCCGCCATCGTCACCGTCTTCTTCTTTCTCGAACTATGTTCGGTGCACGGGAGGAGAAGCTGACGCAAAAGAAGGGAATCCGACAACAGACAAAACGATAGCGTGTCAGTTTCCAGACCACGTTTCCATCTAAAGCATTATTGTGACGATGATATATCAAATTTTATTGCTAAAAAATTAGGATTTAAAACCTCAATTGATATATTTTTATATATTAAATATTAATCTAATTATGATGTACCAAACACTCTTATCAAAGGTTGAATATTCGAAACATCATTCAATATATTTACATCTTAAATGTTGGTCTGATAGTGATATATCAAATCGATTCATGTTGCCAATGATTCCAAATTTCTTGTCAAACAAAAAATAATTACATTCACAAATCTTTTCTTCTGAAGTTAATAAATATGCATGCACAGGATCAAACCTCAAATAACTGAACAAATTTTGATGATGATTTCTCATGAAGAAAAAGAAGCAACCTAGAAATCAGGCCAGGGTTGAGAAACTCATAGTGAAACTTCACAGCTCTAACAATTCCAGACTTCCAAGATTAGATCTCAGCTTCCTACTGAATTAAAGCTATAATTAATAGAGAAAATAGAAGCTCTTACACTAAGAAGCTTACTGTAACAGCATGCTCACAGGAGCTGCATGAAAATATGTGAATCAAAGATCAGAAATCTTTTCTGCTATGTACATTTCCTCAATCAAACTCATTAGAGAAACCTGGACCTTGAAAATAGAAGGTTGTATATGCTGACAGTGGGCATTTTGATTGCCCTGTGCAAATTTAAAGAAGAAACAACATAATCTTACTATCATTCACTAGCTTGCGGTGTCGTAGACCTACTGGTCCACCTGTTCATGACCGAATCAGGAGAGAATGGTTCGGTATTCTTCAGCAACTCAGCATCATCTCGACTCTCAGCAACACCATGTTCCTTCTTCTCTGGTCTGTTCCCATCGCTCTCTATTGCTTGCAACACCTCGAGGACCTCCTTTATGGGTGGCCTCATGTCCCCATCCGATTGCAAACACCTGAATGCCACTTCTGCCACCATGGTGATCATCTTCCTTGTAACCTCATCCGATTGATACCCTAGGGCAGCGTCCACCAATTGCTCGAGTTCGCCTCTCTGGATTCTGGTTATTGCCATGTTAGCCAAATTGATCTCGCTCCGGTTCCGAGTCATGTCGACAGCAGGCTTGGAGGTTATAAGTTCGAATAGTACAACTCCAAAGCTGTAAACATCACTCTTGTCGGTGAGCTGGAAGCACTGATGGTACTCAGGGTCCAAGTATCCTGGTGTGCCCTGTGGAGCAGTAGAGATATGTGTGACATCCTTGGGGATGAGACGTGAAAGCCCAAAATCTGCAACTTTGACATGAAAGTTGCTATCAAGTAAAATGTTATTAGTTTTGACATCTCGGTGTATGACTGGTGGGTTGACTGCATGGAGGTAGGCAAGTGCATCAGCTGTCTCAATGGCAATTCTCAGACGCATTGGCCATGTGAGGATGCACTGACTTTCCCGGGAACCATGGAGGTGATGCGCCAAAGTGCCATTTGACACAAACTCGTACACGAGAAGGAGCTCCCGACTTTGGTGAGACGTGCAGCCATAGAGGATAACAAGTCTCTGATGACGGAGACGTGATAGGATCTGTATCTCATTCATGAACTGTTCAACCCGCCTGTAGTTGTTCTCGTATAGTCGCTTGACTGCAACAGTACGTCCATCTTGAAGCTTACCTGAAGATAAGAAGCCATGTGATCTAACGATCGATTCAACCAGTGTATGTAAAGAATAGGATGGCATATGGATCGCTAGTTGATCTAAAATTAGTTTGAAACACCTATTCTTCAGCACCTTTATAAACAGTGCAAAAGCCTCCATCACCAAGTTTATCAGAGGCATCAAACTTGTTGGTGGCCTCCTCTAGTTCAGCATACGAGAAGACATGAGTCTGCAAAAGGGCACTGTCCATTTCAGGATCCATCAAGGATGGCTTCAAACTGGCACTTTGAGAAAGGGATTTGGAGGATGGGGGGAATTGTCGCTTCTTTTTGTGCCTGTAGAAGCGATAACAAGTGCAGAGTAGGAGAAAGACACAAGTTGCTGCAGAAACACCTGTTGTCAAGGTAAAAAACAGATAAGTAAGCCACACAAAATTGTAGGAACTACACAGCAAATAATTATAGTACAGGATTGGAGTACTGAAACTTCTGCATATTAAAACAATTTCCTGGAGTAACTTAAAGTTGAGTAATTCTTTGGTTACCAGATATGTTTTCTTTTAGTGAAATGAATCTTTTAGGGAAAATATATTAATTTGATTACCAGATATCTCTATAGGCTTTTGCTTCCAGATTTTTTTTCCCCTTGTATTTTTGAGTCCGGTCAATGGTCAGATTGTGCTGGTAGTCAAAGGAGATGAACAATGATGAAAAGAACAGGAGAAACATGACATGTATATTAATATCATTTTTGGTGCAGCATTGATTCTCTATAGGACTTAACTTGGGAAATGACTATTCAAGTAGGAAAAACTAGTTTTTTTGAAACAGTAAGTTGGCATGTCCTACTGAAATCATAAACCTGGATTTTATCAATGCCCATAAGGCAGCAAATCTGAAGACCACACGAATTAACAAACAAATTCAGTATCATGTTTCGTAGATTGCAAATTCATTGATCAAGCAAAAGTTACTTTCTCAACTCAGCAATAAAAAATAAGAGGCATGTATTTTGCATAAAAAAATGGGAACAAAAAGAATGTGGAAACTGTTTAAACTGATGGAAGAATAGAGAAAAGTTCTTTACCTATTATGATCCCCTTTATCTTTGCTTTCTTCAGATGCCCACCACGTGCTGTAGCATGGGAAAACAATATCCTTGAGATCATTGAAAATTATAACCTTGATTAAGCAGCATGTAAAAAACAATGTAAAGGAATAATGTTCACATAATCTATTTCTTCATAACTCTATCAGCAAACCAATTTTCTAAGCCACTATATTGATGTGGAAATTTCATTATTGGTAAACTAAATTCAACTGTAATATTTTCAATTATCAGTGAGAGAAGCAACTTGGTTAGTATTAGTCTTTCTCCCGCTGCCATGCCGTGCAACATGTATCTCCACAAAAGCTTCTTTATTTTAATTTGTTCCTGGCCGTTATTTGACAACTGTGCAACTATGAGAAGCTGACAGAAAGCAGACCTTACACCTTGTTTTCTATCAGATGACGCAACTTCCAGTAAAATCGCTGGTGTCAGTACAAAACAGAAAGCATATATACAATGTTTATAACATATACTAAAAAAAGATCATTATTTTTGACTGAGTGGAATTCTTGATTTAGTTGAAAAAACCATGGCTAAATCTATCTACCTGCAAGCCAAAAGCAAATTGCTGGGTTAAGTAGAAGATTAATATTAGCATGAGGAAAAAGGGCTGTGATTAGCCTGAGAGATAAGAACTGTGAAATAAGGGAAAGCAATGTAAGATTCCTAAGAGTAAGAGCCACAGATCAGGATCACAGGTTCTGTATGCCTCTTCATGAAGAAAAATAATGAAGGATACAAGGGTTTTTGGTCTATGCATTAAATGGAATGAAGTTTTTTATTAGCCACATTAATATATATTGGTGTTCAGAAAGAAAGGGCATCTGATTGAATGTGATCTTCGCAAGACTGCAAGTGAAAAACTTAAGCATAGGATATTCATACGAAAATTCATTTAGGCAGTAGTAAGGGAAAGAATGCAGTCGGCTTCAGTAACTAGTCCTTCAAAATTCTTCCAATGCAAAAGACCAACAAATGAAAGCAGTTTTAGCTAATACAGATGTACACAAACAAAAGCAGACAAATTCTCTCTGTGGAATCCCCATTAATGGGGGAAAAAACTATTGATGTCTACGAGCTTGGATGGTTAAGGCAGTCAAATTTCTTTTAATGAATCACTAGGTTGAATCCCCTTGGGCGCATAACTTTTGTTTCTTCCCTTCCTCAGCGGTCGATGATTGTTCCCATGTGTGGCCTGATTCCACCAAGTGTGTGATGTACAAAAAAAAAGGAGGAAAGAATACCTAGAGATAAGTTATGAGAGTGATGACTTATGAACAACATAGCTTCCAATATTACAATTTACCACCTTACATTGTAGTCTTAAGTCTTAAGTTAATACAGATTCATGCAAGTTATGAAAATTAGTGTGCTCTTGGATAGGAGGAAGTAATTCATGAGGCTGGCTTCAGATTATCAGCAAAAACTGAAATCAAATGGAAGAAGATAAAGAAAACAGAAAACTGTTTAAACGAGGCATAGGAAACAGTAATTAAAAAAGATCATCTAGGTTAGTTACCATATCAGATTCTTTACAAGGCATATGCTCATCTAATATCAAAGGAGGTTCTAAAAATATGGTCAAAACTTTGAAATTAGATTTCTTAGTCTCAGGCATTCTAATCAGCATACTACCATAATTCAATCACTTAATAATTTGATATGTTTGATAATGAATTCTTTTTAGATTAGACAGACCAGTGAAATAAATCTCTCGTAGTTAACCTGTTCATCAGAAGAAATAGTTTTCAAAGTCATCGAACACATTTATGGGTGTTAGAATAACAGAGTCTTGAAAGCAACCAAAGAATGGGTGTAAAATCTTAAAATAAAAAGATAGCAACACAAGACGCAATAGAGAGCTTAAATCACTGAAGAGTGTTTTTTATTTGCAGTATAATAAAATAAAAATGCCTTTAGAGAGAGGAGAAAATCTCTACATGGGTGATGAGCAGGGAGGCATGACAACGACATAAAAGAGAAGCAAGAACTTTTTCATTAATACACATTCAGGAGGAACTAATATAAGGACTAAGCATCAACCTGTTGTACTAATCTAAGCAACCATGCTGTGCTCTGTTCAATCCAAAAAAACAGACGAGGGAAGATAAAATTATCAGATTGTACTCTCTAAATGCTACTCTTTGGCTGAATCACACGAATGCAAAATATACGACTTAAAGGTTAGAGGTTAATCAAATAAGGACTCCAGTACTGATGAAGAAATAACATGATACCTATAAATTGACCGACTCGCATCCAAAAGGTAATCGGCAATCAGCCAAAGACAATAGGCAGAATCTTGGAGCATAATAGATGCTGAAACCTGAGAACTCTCAGGAAAACCATGTTTCCTAATACTAATCCTGGAGCTACATGAGCCGACCCCAAGCTATGAAACCCAAATTCTTATCTGCTAAATTCTGGTGAAAAGGTAGCGTCTCATGCTTCAAGATCTCCCATTCACAACACTCTTAATTATTAAGAACCATAAAAAAAATCAACGAAGTTATGTTTCTCTTAATTCCTAGTACTTACTGCAGCTACTGGAACGAACTCCATCAGGGCAGATGCACATGAACCTCCCCATGGTATCATTGAAGCCGCATCTGCCGCCGCCGGCCGTGCACTCAGTACAATCCGGTGAAGCCCAATCCAACAACCACCCTCTCCTCAGAAGCGCAGCAACGTCACCGTTGCTCGCATTGAAATACTCCACTACCGGCACGATATCAAGCACACAACCAAGGCTAGCCAAGTCTAGTCGGGTCGACATGTTGTACTCGCCGCCGAAGTAGGCCAAATGTCGAGCACAAGCTATGCTTTCATATCCCCAGAGTTCATTCGAGCAATTGAGGAGGAAGTAGACGTTCCTGTTAAGGGAGCTGATGCTAAAAGGATAGATGCTAGAGTCGAAACCAAAATTTTCATAGGGCAAGGGGCACGAATCATCAAAGAACTCGACGGCGGTGAGGAGGACCGACTGGTTGTGGTAGAAGATGTTTAGGGCGTAAAACTTATGGCCGAGGATCTCAAGAACGGGGCTGTAGCTGCCGTTGCCGCAGATGATCATGAAAGGAGGGAAGCCGCAGTAGGATGGTTGCTGCCCTCTGAGCCAGAACGGGTAGCTCACGTTCACCCCATTCCCGCAGCTCCTCGGCTCACAGTCCGCCATTGTTGGGGCCACGGCCGAGACCCAGGCCGCCTTCTTTCCCACCAACATGAGCAGCAAAGAGAAGACGCAGAGGGATTCTTTAAGTCTCATTAGGGTTTTAGGATCCACATAAGGGGAAGCGGAGGGGGGAGGAAGAAGAGCTGCAGAGCCTGCGGAGACGTGCTGCAACCGTCGACAAGAGTGTGGGAATGCACCGTCCCAATTTGAGTCGGCTTTCTCACTCACCGGTCCGGTTCAACCCAAATCCACTTGAGTCCCAACGCGATCCGGCAACTGAACCGGATTATGCGGCTACTTATGCACCACGAAATCATCATGGTTTGCGTGCTTGGACCGTTGACGCGATATCAAGTCAGATAATGGTGAGATGAACGGCACAAGAAACCGAAGGATTTGAATGTGGAACACAATCCGATAAAATTGATGCGAATACACATACATGTGCAGCCACTTTGGGAAGAGCCATCCATCTCGTAGGCTGTGGGATTAATGGCGGGCGAAAATTTCTAGTCACGTTAGAGCTCAAAATGTCATCAAACCTAATTTGATTTCCCAATTCCGAAGCTGAATTAAAGACATGAAACATCATGTAATACTAGAATTATACCCAAGCAGAGGTTTCCAAACGCGCACCTTTGTTAGGAGGACATGTTCCGAGGGTTGAATTATGTGGGCAGAAGCAGGTGTGGTTCTCCGGAGAGAGCACGTCGAAGCCGCAGTGCCCACCTGACTCGACGCAGTCACGACACCACCCCTTCCCTGCCTCCCAACGTAGCGAGAACCCCCCCTTCACTGCGTCGCTAAAGCTCCGCTTCCCGTACCTGATCTCGTTCGCCGCTGCTTGGTGCATCGGCACCACTACCATCGAGCTGCAGTTTTCAAACATCTCTATGTGGTTCTCATCGGTAAGCTGGTAAAACCCGTGACGACCCCCCGGTGCGCAACCCATGTCATGCACCTCGGGAATCGGAGGTGAGAGGGCGGTGCAGTTGACGAACACCGTGACGTTCTTGTCCCGGTCGCTGTAGCTGTACATCGAGAAGTCGAGGCTGGTGTTTTGGTACGGCTGAGGGCACGACTGGTTGACGAAGGGTGGGTCGACGACGGTAATGAGGTGGTTCAAGTAATCTATATCCTTGAGGACGTATCCCTTGCCGTCGATCTCGATCGTCATGGAAGTATTGTTCTTGCTGCAAGAGACATAGTATCCCGGGTAGCCACAGTAGTCGGCACGTCCGTCGACGCGAAACGGGTAGCTGATGTTGATCTTAGTGCCTCCGCAAGAGTATGTGTGGGAAGCACAATCCGCATACCGATAGTAGCTCTCCGAGGAAGAAGATGGAGTCGATGACAGGGCGAGGAGTAAAAGGATAGATGGAATAGGAGATCCTATGCCTGGATGCATTTGGCTCTTGCCACAGAGATCGGAGGAAGCAAGAGGAGGTGGAGACATGGACTGCAGCGTTCTTCGGCTTTAGCTAAAGTGGCCTTCCCAACAAGGAAGACGGCGTGTCTTTGGGTCTTCGGAAGGTAGCACGAAAGTGGCTTTTGGAAATTTGGCGAGGGCGGTGCTGTCTCTTCCACCTTTGACCGGGCAGTGATGGGATTGCTTTCCGTGTGATGCGACTTGGAGATCAAAACATGACGTCCGATACGAGAAGAGATCACTGATTCGATTCTTCGTCCCTGCACATGGGACCGTGGCTCATGATTCTTGTAGAAACTAAACCTGGGTGGTAGCGGAGACCTTGACGCCATTATTGGCTTGAACTCTAAGGCTGAGGTCAGTCAAAGAACTGAACGCCTTTAAAGAAGGCACCAATGGTCCGCGGACGTGAAGAAGAAGGGTGTGGCTGTCTTCGTTGTTTGACCAAAGACAGTGGAAGTCCTCTTCATGCTCAAATGTATAGTATAGCTGGCAAAGACCTCGTTTCCGTCTTCATCATCGTAATCTGTCTTTCTAGAACATTTTGGGCTATTATTAGTCCAATTATGGATAGGATTCGGATCGCATCTGAGTCTAGATCTTCAGTTTGAGGCAAGTCTAGTGTCGATAAGGCGGACACTCAACAGACAATCTTACAAAAATTATGTCGAGGGCAGGCTAACAAAGATCATTTCGACATTTGAATTAATCAAGATTGAAAGGATTTGATTATTATGTAAAATATTTGAGCATCATTAAATCATCAAGTCATGCAACGAATTAGAGGGTATTATAATTATTCGATATTGCATAAGGCTAGGTTGGCCTCTAGCATTATGTCGATATTTCTGACTATTTGATTCTCATGTTTAGCTAATAAGATATACGATTGAGTATAATATATTGTTATGTTTCTTATATCTCAAAGCTTCGTATCATTTGTCTCATATCGTGTTTCGACACACATATAGGGTTGAGACACGATACGTATTGTATCTCAAACACTTGAGTATTCCAATAGTATGTTATACCTATTGTATATCTTGTTAGTCCGATATGACAATCAAATCATATCATATAGAGATGTCATTATGCTAATAAGAAGGATCACTTGAACTAACTGTTATCCCATAACTACAACGTTCAACTATTTAGTGCATGACTTCATGACTAATGATGGTCGATCATTTTACACAATTATTTCATAAGTTTACTCTTCAATCCAATCGTGGTCTTGATCCTATTCGAGAAAATATACTCTATTACGTTCTCAAATCATTTGAATCTCTACTAATTTATTAGGCATATTTATAATTGATAGGGAATATTCTAGTATCGCTCCCGTAGCCATAGTCAGCAAACAGGCCAACGTGAACGTGCAGCCTCGAGACAACGCAGTACGATACAAAGCCGCTCAAGAAAGCTCGGAACGATACCGTGTGGTGTCATTTCGTGCAGGTCGGTCGGCGCTCGCATAAAGGTACAAGTCAATCGCCCGATGAGTCGGCTACCATCATCAGATCACGTACGATCGACCCTCACTCGCAAGTATAAAAGCCTCATAACCGGTATTAGGTAGGGGATCCTTTGCTTCCAAAAAAAAAACCCTGCTCAATATTGACTTAACCTTCAAAGTGGTCGAGTCGAAAAATCCACCTCTCGATCTCGTCTTTTGTGTAGGAGGAAGAAGTAGGACACTTTCCAAGAGAGAATACCGTACTCGGGAGACGAGGCTCAAACTCAACTCGACCCGACAAAGGCTCACATCCAATAACTAGTCGTATAGATGATCCTACACGTTAAGGGTCGGACCAAGCCATGCTGACACCTCGATCACAATTTGAGAGTCGGTTAACAATAACTTATTTTTTATAAGAGCATCTACTGAATCCTCCATTTTCTCGACATCGAACTTGTAACAAGCTCAAGCGACGAACTCACATTAGATCTAAGTCCCCGATGCATCATATCACCAAAATCTGACTTATCAGTTCACTGAAATCCTAAGCAACTTTAAATAGGTTAGTAAAGTTGGCTTCCACCCTAATAAACATGCTCTAAAGTCAAATTGGCTATTTCTGATTTTAAACGAAAACTAAAAGGACAGCCGTCGATTGTGAGTGAGTAAGCACTAAAGTCAAATTAAAAGTCAAGAAAGCGAAGGAGGATAGCTAAAAGTGGCGAATAAAGCCTGGCGACCCAACTTTTATCCCACCTCGCAACAGCTTTCCGCTCACTCACAAAGTGGGATGTGGGGTCCGCCGCAAAAACCTCCTGCTGCTAATGATACCAAGTGGGTAAGTGGCCTGTCTCGTCCTAATTTTTTATGTTTGGCCAAGTCAAAAGCAGTGCATGGAAGACGAGTCAGAGGGCATCTTCCTCCGTAACTCCACGAAACACATACTTCAACAGAGGATGCGACAGGCCACCATTCCCGTTCTAATCTCTAGATCAGGAGTGAGAGGACCATGCAATGAAATTGACCGAGTCTAATTAGATGAGCTACGGAAAGTGGTAATGTAGTGAAGAAATACTGAAATAGATCGAGCAGTGGCAGTAGAAAAGAGCGAGTAAATACGAAGATATACTGACATACCTTCTGCGCAATGGGGATGAAATGTCTTTACTCCATCCGAGCAGAAGCAGGTGAAATTCCAGGTGGAGTTACTCGTCCGGTTGAGCCCACACCGCCCGCCGGAGTGCTCGCACCTGCCGCAGTCGCCGGAGGTCACGTTTGGCCAGCTCAAATTGAATCCACTCTGCAACACCCCTCCGTATCGGGTAGGTAAGTCGTCTGCAATATAAGCCATCAGCACGTCCTGCAGGACGGGCACGACGACGACGGCGCGGCACGTCCGAGGAAGACGGTGATAAGACTCCCTCATCGTTTCGGTCGTGAAGACATAGGACCGGTTTCCACCAGCAGAGCCGAGGCAGGGGATGTGGAGATCCGGTGGGCCGTCGGTGCAGTCGAAGAAGAAGGTGAGGTTGACGTCGGAGGGAGCGTAGCGCAGAACTGAGTCGGGATCGAAGGTGAGGTTGTGATTTACTCGAGGGCACTCTTCACTGACGAAGACGATGCCGGTATCGGCGAGGGAGATGGTATGGGTTTTGTAGTCGATGTTGGTGACTGTGTAGTTGCCGGCGGGAAGGTGGATGATCGGGGTGTTGTTCCGGCAAATCAGCTCGAAGCCTCGGTAACCGCAGTGGGAGCGGAGGGAAGTGGAGTCGTCATGGACGAACCAGAATGGGTAGGTGATGTTGGTGATGTTGCCACAGCTTGATATGGCTTCGCCGCAGGCAACGTTGGAAGGATGGCTGATGGCGGGAACGGAGAAAAAGAGGAGAAGAAAGAAAAAGGCTGAGATGGGAAGAGGAGGTGTGGGGAATTTGGAGTTCATGTTTGGGTTGGGGAAGGACGGAAGGGGGCGGTAGTAGTAAGAAGACCTTACCACTGTTGGGTTTTGCATGACCTACTTTCGAGTGCTTTGAGTAGATGGAACGAAGAATGGATCTTTCTTTGCTTACTTTTCTCGTTCCTTGGCTTTTATCTTGAGAGCGTCTTGCTTGAATGGAGATAGGGACGGTGAGATGCTGAGGCTTTGCCGTGCAGTACAAAGACGATGGTGATGGGAGAAAGACTTCATGCCCTTGGATGTAGAGCTTTCTTAGATGCAGACAAGGTGTTAGAACAGTCCTCGGATCATCAGCATCATTGCTACTTGTTGCGAGAAACAACTTTGAGCCGTGGCCTCGGGGCCGACGCGGCTCGGTTCGGGTCCGAAAGACGGGGATCTCCCTGGGGGCGTTCCTCGAGCCCGCTGAGGAGGTCGGGGGTGGTGTCCGATCGGGACAATGTAATCGTCTCTTCCGGGCAGGAACTCCTCGCCTGCGGGACCAACGGGGACCTTCGGCTTCGCACCTGCACAAAGGTCGGGCCGGGGTGCTCGGCCCGACCCCTCCGACGATCAAGTTAGAGGAAGATGTGGAGGGAGTTTCAAGAGAAGAAGTGTTTTAGTGTGTGTCTCTCCTCTGTCCCCTCTCTCCATTTAGGATGCAAGGGTATTTATAGGGGAGTTGGTGTTACTTGGCGTGCTTGCCTGCAGGAGACAGGCTCGTACATCTGATGGCGTCTGACATTGCTGTTGGCGTTGCATGAAGAGCCGAACTGCCGCAGGGTATGGGCATGCCTCGGTCGTCGTTCTCCTCTGCCTCGGTCGAGCGTGTTGGGTCAGACAACGATGAAGTCGTTGTCTGAGAGCGGGAGACGTCAACGCACATCGCGTCGGCATTATTGCCCTCTTTGGGCAGAGTGTCGTCCAGGCGTGGCTGACGTCGTGGCGCGTCATGTCGCTATTATTACCCTCATCACTATTGATGAGGATAGTAATTATGATAAGACTCGGCTGACGTCAACCGACGCCTCACGCCTCGATCGACGCGACTGCACTCAGTCAACCGAGCCGGAACACCGGCCGAGGCGCATTAACGCCTACTCAGGCACGGTTCTTCACGCCACGCCAGCGCCCATGTCAGACGCTATCAGCTTGCCTCCTGCAGGCGGGTACGTCAAGTAACACCAAACTCCCCTATAAATACCCTCGCACTCTGAACGAGCGGGGGGGACAGAGGAGAGTCACTCCAAACACCTCTTCATCCGAAACTCCCTCCACATCTTCTTCTAACTTGATCGTCGGAGGGGTCGGGTCGAGCTTCCCGACCCAACCTTTGTGCAGGTGCGAAGCCGAGGGTCCCCGCCGACTGCGCGGACGATGAGTTCCTGCCCAGAGGACACGGCGACCCCGTCCCGATCGGACCATCGCACCGGATCGACCCCGCGGGCTCGAGGCACGCCCCGGAGAGATCCCCGACGTCCGGACCCGAACCGAGCCGCGTCGGCCTCGAGGCCACGGCTCTCAAAGTTGTTTCCCGCAACAGCTACTGTGGAGTTATTTATATATATATATATTCTTGAATTTTAAAAATAAGAAATTAAATTCAAAATGTCTTAAATATATGGCTCTCCTAAATCTTGAATAAGGTAGAAATATGAAACCACATCGAATTAGTATGTATCCTCTCGCTCCATCCATGACTCGATCAGTCTCGATGTCATGGAAACCATATCGAACTATGACATATCCTTCGCTTCCCATCTCCGCCCTTTCTCTTCGTTCCCGCCATCAGCCATCCTTCCAACGTTGCCTGCGGCGTAGCCATATCAAGCTGTGGCAACGTAACCAGCATCGCCTACCCATCCTGGCTCGTCCATGACGACTCCACTTCCCTCCACTCCCACTGCGGTTACCGAGGCTTCGAGCTGATTTGCCGGAACAACACCCCGAGCATCCACCTTCCCTCCAGCAATTACTCAGTCACCAACATCGACTACGAAACCCGTACCATCTCCCTCGTCGACGTCGACATCGTCTCCGTCCGTGAAGAGTGCCCTCGAGTACATCACAACCTCACCTTCGATCCCGACTCAATTCTGCGCTACGCTCCCTCCGACGTCAACATCACCTTCTTCTTCGACTGCATCGACGGCCCACGGGATCTCCACATTCCCAGCCTCAGCTCTGCTGTTGGAAACCGGTCCTATGTCTTCACGACCGACACGATGAGAGACTCTTATCGCCATCTTCCACGGACGTGCTGCTGGCTTATATTGCAGATGACTTACCTACCCGATACGGAGGGGTGTTGCAGAGTGGATTCAATTTGAGTTGGCCAAACGTGACCTCCGGCGACTGCGGCAGCTGCGAGCGCTCCGGCGGGCGGTGTGGGCTCAACCGGACGAGTAACTCCACCTGGGATTTCGCCTGCTTCTGCTCGAATGGAGTAAAGACATTTCATCCCCATTGTGCAGGTCTGTCAATCAGTATATCTTCGTATTTACTCGCTCTTTTCTACTGCCACTGCTCCTTCTATTTCAGTGTTTCCTTGCTGGGTTTCTGCCCGCATGCAGTAGCTCAGCTAATTGAAGATAGTCTAATTGGACAAATCATTCACACTAATTTTACATCAGTTTTTTTATATATTTTTTTATTGTTTGTCATTGTCAATTTGTTTTCATTTTCCCAAAGTTTCTCTCCCTCCCAACACTTACTTGGATGTGATACGTGGTTGAATGTAGTCAATCTCATGGAAAAAGCAGAGGAATCCATTTTCTCCGGTAGACTGAAAGAGAAGGCCATTTATGCGTAGGAAAAAATGGCTCCGGAACGACTCGTCCAAAACGCGACCTTTGACTTGGCCACACTAAATATTAGTATCTAATCTCAACACCCCACAAGCATATGTAGGTAGTGTCATGAATCATCGACTACAGTATTCGAAGACTTAGTCCACGATGTATGTATACAAGCAAGCTATTTGATCTCATCGTCATGCAACAGACAAATAAATCCGAACCTCATCAATTTCCTCCCAACTTCTAAAGACCCAAAGACACTCTCAACTCCATGCCTCCACCTCCTCTTGCTTCCTCCAAGCTGTGTGGCAAGAGCCAAATGCATCCAGGCTTAAGGTCTCCTCTTCCATCTATCCTTTTACTCCTCGCCCTGTCATCGACTCCACCTTCTTCCTCAGAGAGCTACTATCGGTATGCGGCTTGTGCTCCCTACACGTACTCTTGCGGAGGCACTAGGATCAACATCAGCTACCCTTTTCGCGTCGACGGCCGTGCCGACAACTGTGGCTACTCGGGATACTATGTCGCTTGCAGCGAGGACAATACTTCCGTGACGATCGAGATCGACGGCAAGGGATGCGTCGTCAAGGATATAGATTACTTCAACCGCCTCATCACCGTCGTCGATCCACCCTTCGTCAAGCAGTCGTGCCCTCAGCCGTACCAAAACACCAGCATCGACATCTCGCTGTACAGCTACAGCGACCGGGACCGGAACGTCACGGTGTTCGTCAATTGCACCGCCCTCTCACCTCCGATTCCCGACATGCATGACATAGGTTGCGCGCCGGGCGGCGGCGCCGGGGGTCGTCACGGGTATTACCAGCTTCCCGGTGAGACCCACATGGAGATGTTTGGGAACTGCAGCTCAATGGTAGTGGTGCCCATGCACCAAGCAGCGTCGGACGAGATCCGGTACGGGAAGCTGAGCTTTAGCGACGCAGTGAAGGGGGGGTTCTCGCTGCATTGGAAGGCAGGGGAGGAGTGGTGTTGTGACTGCTTCAATTCTGGTGGGCGCTGCGGCTTTGACGCGCTCTCTCCGAACAGCCACACCTGCTTCTGCCCGTATGGTTCAACCGTTGGAACATGTTCAGGTTCGCGTTCTTATAATTAATTATTTTTAATATTTCGATTCTTATATTTTTAAAAGGTTTTTATATTTTTTAAAAATTATCTTTTTAATTTCTATAAGGATCTCAATATTTTTATTTTTATAAATACATATATTTCAACATAATTTTTAAAATTATAGAGATCGAAATACTAAAGATAACTAATTAAATGAGATAATATATAATTAACATTCCGAGCTCAAACATGACTTGATCTTTCAGATTGAAGGTAAATAGACACTACAAATCTCAAACATTCAAAAATAATAATATATTTTAGTATATGAAAAATATGTTCTGTCAAATTTAATCTACCTTGTGTGTGATTATTTCTTTACATTTATGTTTACATCTTTCTGGATCAAGGTTTTAATTCTCAATAAAACTGTCTTTTTTCCAAGCTGCAGCAATTGTTGCTCATCCTCATCCGAAGACTAAAAAACTAATGGGGATCATAATAGGTAAATCATTATCAGTTCTTTTCATTTTCTCTATTTCACTTACCTGAATATTTTCATCATTTAGAAAAGAAACAAATATTAAGCATAGAAATATATTTTTCTTCGTGTGATTTTTTTTATTCTCTTTTTTATTTTTTATATAGGGAGTGTCGTTGGAGGCTTATCCTTGCTGTGCGTATTCCTCATGATCTACACTCGACGTTGTAGAAAGTCGCACGATGTTGAAGCTTTTGACCGTCAGAATTGCTGTATTCCATGTCGGAGACAGTCCTGTGGGAACAATGCGAAGAGTGTTGAAGGCATTCTCCATCAATGTGGAAGCCTGACCCCCAAGCGGTACAGGTACTCGGAAATAAAGAGGATGACCAAATCCTTCAATGACAAGCTTGGCCAAGGTGGCTACGGTTCTGTGTTCAAGGGCGCGCTCCAAGACGGCCGTTTGGTCGCCGTGAAGGTACTGAAAGCAACCAAAGGCCATGGAGGAGAAGAATTCATCAACGAGGTCGCTAGCATCAGCCGCACATCCCACGTCAACATCGTCGGCCTCCTCGGCTTCTGCTTGGAGGGATCAAAGCGAGCTCTCGTCTACGATTTCATGCCCAATGGATCGCTGGAGAAGTTCATCTGCTCCGACAAATCGACGGAGGAACCACGGTTCGGTTGCGAGAAGCTGTACGAGATCGCACTCGGCGTCGCTCGAGGGTTGGAGTACCTGCACGGCGGCTGTAGTACTCGCATCGTTCACTTCGACATCAAGCCGCACAACATCCTTCTCGACCAAGACTTTTGCCCCAAGATCTCCGATTTCGGACTGGCTAAGTTGTGCCCTCCGAAGGTGAGCGTGATTTCCATGGCGGATGCGAGAGGAACGGTTGGGTATATCGCCCCAGAAGTGTTCTCCAGGGGGTTCGGCGTCGTCTCCAGTAAGTCTGATGTCTTTAGTTACGGGATGCTGCTGCTGGAGATGGCTGGAGGAAGGAGAAGCATCGGTGCAACCAATGAGTACACCAGTGAAGTCTATTTCCCACGCTGTCTCTATGATGATCTTGATCGATACTGCAATGTAGGCGTTGCCGGTGTGACCACAGAGACCAGAGAGATCGCGAGAAAGATGATGATAGTTGGGTTATGGTGCATACAGATGATGCCTGAGAACCGCCCTTCCATGAGCAAGGTGGTGGAGATGTTGAAGGGGAGCGCTGCAGACTTGCAAATGCCACGAACGCCATGATGTGCTCTCACTTGCAAATTGAACAGATCGATCAAGAATTTGTTATGAAACAGATTATTTTTCTTATCGAGATAATACTTATTTACATAAGTTGAGAGAGAAATTTTTTTCAATCATATACTAAAATCATACATTTAATTATGTACTTAAATCTATGATTAATTCTCAAATCATAGATTAATTGAGGATTATAATATATAACGAATATAAAATTATCATTTCATATTTATTTATATCCTCGCACGGGATTGAGTTTTTGTTTAAGATGTTAATCTTTAACCGATGAAACTAAAATATCCTGTAAGTGAGAGATTTTGTGAGAGAGTCTGCTAATTGATCAAAAGTATGGATAATATATTTGATGTCTAACAAAGTGAAAGTCAATGATAATATATTTCATATATGAGCAAAACAATGAAAGTCAATGACATCGATATTATCATAGTATATTATTAGAGTGGATTGGGAGGTGATATTAAGTTGATATAGTAGATTAGTAATCCAATTGAATTCTATAGTGGTGGGTGTGATGGCTTAGTATTTAGCTTGGACTATGGATCTTGGAACTATGTTTTATTTTTTGGAACTTCAATTGATCAAATTTACTCCATGAAAGATAATTTACATTGATATAGATGCTCTATCATTAGTAATACTTGCCTAATCAGTTTTGTCCAAGATATAGAGATTAAGTGATAAGTGTTTATAAAAGAGAAAAATAAAATATCTGAACATATGAGAGGTAAATATTTCAGGGAACCAAGTACTTATCGATACTGGGATCAATAGTAAAGTTACTATCATATAATTTAAGTAACTCAACACTTCTTCTGAGATAAAAAAAGTTCAAAAGATACGAATATTGCTTTCACTCACAAAAAGTAGCTTAAGGTTTCTAGGTATTTGATGGAGAATCAATCTCTCAATTGCTTAAGGAATTACTTAATCTTCATGATTTTATTGATTGTGATGATGATATTATCCACATAGATTAATTGATATATAGTATATTCTTTTTATTGTTGTAGAAATAAAGAAGTATCAAGCCAAGTTCGATATAATTGACAGGCTCTTAATGCTTGACAAAATCCATAAATAGTTTTTCGTAGCTTACAAATATGGTTTAGATACTAAGGGTGGATGAAGTCAAGGGGTTAATGCATAAAATATATTTTCAGTTATGATGCCCTATAAGAAAGTATTGTTAATATCTAATTAATGTATATGCTAGCCTTAAGTGATAGTCAGGATGAGTCAAATTATCATTGATTTAACAACTAAACCAAATGTCTTTGTGAAATAAACACTTAGTTACCGGTGAAACCACTTGGCTACCAAACGTGCTTTGTATGTAACAATGGATTAATTTGAGTTTTACTTAATTCAAAAGATTCACTTATATCCGATGATATTTTATGTAAGGTGAAATGGTATAAGGGTCCACATGGTATTATAAAGCAGGGCATCATATTTATCACTCATGACTATACACTAGTGTAAATATTTTTGGGCTTAGGAGACGATTGTGATAACAGATAAGATTTCCTCAACTATATGAGGAAATCTTTCTACTCTGTTGAGGGAAATCCTTTATTATGTTGAGGAAAATCCTCCCTCACATGTTAATGTATTCAAGCTTCTTCATTTCTTCAATAAAGCTTCTTCAATAATTCTTTTTATCTTTTATTCTTTTCAACAGATTGTAGGTTTAGTAGGCACAGGTGAAGAGCTTGTAGTTGCATAAAAATCAAGAATTTGACGTAGTTTAAAGATATTATTTTTGGAGCATGTTATTATATGATGTCCAAGCTCGGTAGAATTATTAAGTTGTATTGAAGGTATAAGAATTGGTGAAGAGTTAGTGACATGTATTTGATCAGTTTGATGCAATTTGATGTCACTTGGCGGAAGAGATGACAAGGATATCATTTGTGGTGCCTAGGGCGTTATTTCATCGGTTATTTGAATTATTGATGTGGTGAGGTATTTTTAAACTAGAGTAATAAAGGAGTACAGAGTCTAGAAGAGAATTACTAGTTGATGTGATAAAAAGTGCTTTTGAGAGGGTTTGAGATTTACTAATATAATATAAACCTAGTGATGGATGATTATTATAGTGGCTTGCATTGACTTTTGAATTTGGAAGGGAAAGGTAGACTCAAAAAAAATAATATGAAGTGATATAAAGAGTTTTGAATTTAATGATCATATACCAAAAAACATTATGTTCAAGAGAATACCTAATAAATATGTAAAGCTTAGATCTCGGTATTAACCTATGTGAAGTATAGATGTATTACTATGGATAATATAAACAACCAAATACTTTAAATTTTTTTAAAGTTCGAGGTTTTATAATATAGTTATTAAAATAATGACTGATATTATAGAATTAAGGTGAGTATATGATTAATAAGATAAACTATAATTTGAAAAGCTACTAACCAAAAGATTAGTAACATAAAGATTTAGTGTAGGAGTGTGAGACTGAATCTCAACTATGTATCGGTACTTTAATTCGATAGTGTCATTTAGTTAGGGTTGGAATATGGCCCAAACATGAATATGAATGATTTTAAGTGGTTTGAAATTGAATATGAAAGATATTTCAAAAGATAATTTGTGACTTCAATTACTAAGACAAGTATTATAATGAATTATAATTCTATTTTATTTATAATTTAAAATAGAGTAATAAAAAAATAACTATTATTAAATAAAGGATGATGGGTGACCAAATCAATATGTCACATATCGATTAGAATAACAATTGAAGCAAAAGCAATTGACTAAGCATTTTGTAAACTAACAATCACTTGTTGATGGTATTTTTATTTTGGTTTCTGACCAACGATGCTCTCATGCTCAAATCTTTCATAAGAAATAAGTTTTAAAAAAAACTCAATAAAAATATTATTTTATTTAAGTGATAAAAATAAATTTTTTAATATAAGATTCATACAAAATATCATCAAATATAAAAATATTTTATAATCTTCACAAACAAATAAGATTGTGATATACTCAAATGTACTCTTCATGAACGAAGACAATTTCAATGTCGATGTTAGTATGAGTTTTGTAGTCGATGTTGGTGACTATGTAGTTTCATATGGATATGTCATTCGATAGAGGATACATGATATTTCGATATGGTTTCATATTTCTACATTATTTAAGATTTAGGAGAGCCATATTTTTAAGACATTTTTAAATTTTTTTATTTTTAAAATTCATGAACATATTTAAATAACTCCACAGTAGAAATGATGCTGATGATCCGAGGGCTGTTCTTACACCTTGAATGGATCCAAGAAAGAGCTCAGGCATGAAGTCTTTCTCCCATCACCATCGTCTTCTACTGCACGGCAAAGCCTCAGCATCTCACCGTCCCTATCTCCATTCAAGCAAGACGCTCTCAAGATAAAATCCAAGGAACGAGAAAATTAAGCAAAGAAAGATCCATTCTTCGTTCCATCTACTCAGAGCACTCGAAAGCAAGTCATGCAAAACCCAACAGTGGTAAGGTCTTCTTACCACTACCGCCCCCTTCCGTCCTTCCCCAACCCAAATATGAACTCCAAATTCCCCACACCTCCTCCTCCCATCTCCGCCTTTTTCTTTCTTCTCCTCCTTTTCTCCGTTCCCGCCATCAGCCATCCTTCCAACGTTGCCTGCGGCGAAGCCATATCAAGCTGTGGCAACATCACCAACATCACCTACCCATTCTGGCTCGTCCATGACGACTCCACTTCCCTCCGCTCCCACTGCGGTTACCGAGGCTTCGAGCTGATTTGCCGGAACAACACCCCGATCATCCACCTTTCCGCCGGCAACTACACAGTCACCAACATCGACTACAAAACCCATACCATCTCCCTCGTCGACACCGACATCGTCTCCGTCCGTGAAGGGTGCCCTCGAGTGCTTCACAACCTCACCTTCGATCCCGACTCAGTTCTGCGCTACGCTCCCTCCGACGCCAACCTCACCTTCTTCTTCGACTGCACCGACGGCCCACCGGATCTCCACATCCCCTGCCTCGGCTCTGCTGGTGGAAACCGGTCCTATGTCTTCACGACCGAAACGATGAGGGAGTCTTATCACCGTCTTCCTCGGACGTGCTGCGCCGTCGTCGTCGTGCCCGTCCTGCAGGACGTGCTGATGGCTTATATTGCAGACGACTTACCTACCCGATACGGAGGGGTTTTGCAGAGTGGATTCAATTTGAGCTGGCCAAACGTGACCTCCGGCGACTGCGGCAGCTGCGAGCGCTCCGGCGGGCGGTGTGGGCTCAACCGGACGATCAACTCCACCTGGGATTTCGCCTGCTTCTGCTCGAATGGAGTAAAGACATTCCATTCCCATTGTGCAAGTATGTCAGTCAGTATATCTTCGTATTTACTCGCTCTTTTCTACTGCCACTGCTCGATCAATTTCAGTGTTTCCTTGCTGGGTTTCTGCCGGCATGCAGTAGCTCAGCTAATTGAAGATAGTCTAATTGGACAAATCATTCACACTAATTTTACATCAGTTTTTTTATATATTTTTTATTGTTTGTCATTGTCAATTTGTTTTCTTTTTCCCAAAGTTTCTCTCCCTCCCAACACTTACTTGGATGTGATACGTGGTTGAATGTAGTCAATCTCATGGAAAAAGCAGAGGAATCCATTTTCTCCGGTAGACTGAAAGAGAAGGCCATTTATGCGTAGGAAAAAATGGCTCCGGAACGACTCTTCCAAAACGCGACCTTTGACTTTGGCCAAACTAAATATTAGTATCTAATCTCAACACCCCACAAGCATATGTAGGTAGTGTCATGAATCATCGACTACCGTATTCGAAGACTTAGTCCACGATGTATGTATACAAGCAAGCTATTTGATCTCATCGTCATGCAACAGACAAATAAATCCGAACCTCATCAATTTCCTCCCAACTTCTAAAGACCCAAAGACACTCTCAACTCCATGCCTCCACCTCCTCTGCTTCCTCCGAGCTCTGTGGCAAGAGCCAAATGCATCCATCCTTAAGGTCTCCTCTTCCATCTATCCTTTTACTCCTCGCCCTGTCGTCGACTCCACCTTCTTCCTCGGAGAGCTACTATCGGTATGCGGATTGTGCTCCCTACACATACTCTTGCGGAGGCACTAAGATCAACATCAGCTACCCTTTTCGCGTCGACAGCCGTGCCGACTACTGTGGCTACCCGGGATACTATGTCGCTTGCAGCAAGAACAATACTTCCATGACGATCGAGATCGACGGCAAGGGATACGTCGTCAAGGATATAGATTACTTGAACCGCCTCATCACCGTCGTCGATCCACCCTTCGTCAACCAGTCGTGCCCTCAGCCGTACCAAAACACCAGCCTCGACATCTCGCTGTACAGCTACAGCGACCGGGACGTGAACGTCACGGTGTTCGTCAACTGCACTGCCCTCTCACCTCCGATTCCCGACGTGCATGACATGGGTTGTGCGACGGGGGGTCGACACGGGTTTTACCAGCTTACCGATGAGAACCACATAGAGATGTTTGAAAACTGCAGCTCGATGGTAGTGGTGCCCATACACCAAGCAGCGGCGGTCGAGATCGGGTACGGGAAGCGGAGCTTTAGCGACGCAGTGAAGGGGGGGTTCTCGCTGCGTTGGGAGGCAGGGGAGGGGTGGTGTCGTGACTGCGTCGAGTCAGGTGGGCGCTGCGGCTTCGACGTGCTCTCTCAGGAGAGCCACACCTGCTTCTGCCCACATAATTCAACCGTTGGAACATGTTCTCCTTCTAATAAAGGTGCGCGTTCGGAAACCTCTGCTTGGGTATAATTCTAGTATTACATGACGTTTCATGTCTTTAATTCAGCTTCGGAATTGGGAAATCAGATTAGGTTTGATGACATTTTGAAGCTCAAAAGACATTATGATGACATTTTGAAGCTCAAACTTTGAGCTTTCAGATTCGAGATAGATAGACAGTATAAATCCGACAAACACAAACATTAAAAAATAATAATATATTTAGTATATGAAACAACATGTGTTCAAGTCTTATTTAAGAGAACTTGTGTGTGATTATTTCTTTACACTGTTATTTACATCTTGCTCGATCAAGGTTTTAATTCTCAAGAAAACTGTCTTCTTCCCAAGCTGCAGTTGCTATTGCAGTTCATCCGAAGATTAAAAAGATAACGGGGATCACAATAGGTAAAATAATTATCAGTTCTTTTCATTTTTTTCTATTTCACTTACCTGATTATTTTCATCATTTAGAAAAGAAACAAACTTTAAGCATACAACTATATTTTTCTTCGTGTGATTTATTATTATTATTATTTTGTTTCTCCTTTTATTTTATATAGGGAGTGTCATTGGAGGCATATCCTTGCTGTGCTTATTCCTTCGTGTGATCTACGCCCTACGTTTTAGAAAGTCGCCAGATGTTGGAGCTTTTGACCGTCAAAATTGCTGTATTCCATGTCGGAGGCGGTCCTGTGGGAACAGTGCGCAGGGTGTCGAAGCCTTTCTCCGTCAATGTGGAATCCTCGCCCCCAAGCGGTACAGGTACTCGGAAATCAAGAGGATGACCAAATCCTTCGATGACAAGCTTGGCCAAGGTGGCTTCGGTTCTGTGTTCAAGGGCGCCCTCCAAGACGGCCGTTTGGTCGCCGTGAAGGTACTGAAAGCAACCAAAGGCCATGGAGGAGAAGAATTCATCAACGAGGTCGCTAGCATCAGCCGCACATCCCACGTCAACATCGTCGGCCTCCTCGGCTTCTGCTTGGAGGGATCAAAGAGAGCTCTCGTCTACGATTTCATGCCCAATGGATCGCTGGAGAAGTTCATCTGCTCCGACAAATCGACGGAGGAACCACGGTTCGGTTGCGAGAAGCTGTTCGAGATCGCACTCGGCGTCGCTCGAGGGTTGGAGTACCTGCACGGCGGCTGTAGTACTCGCATCGTTCACTTCGATATCAAGCCGCACAACATCCTTCTCGACCAAGACTTTTGCCCCAAGATCTCCGATTTCGGACTGGCTAAGTTGTGCCCACCGAAGGTGAGCGTGATTTCCATGGCGGATGCGAGAGGAACGGTTGGGTATATCGCCCCAGAAGTGTTCTCCAGGGGATTCGGCGTCGTCTCCAGTAAGTCCGATGTCTATAGTTACGGGATGCTGCTGCTGGAGATGGCTGGAGGAAGGAGAAGCATCGGTGCAACCGATGAGAACACCAGTGAAGTCTATTTCCCACACTGTCTCTATGATGATCTTGATCGATACTGCAATGTAGGCGCTGCCGGTGTGACCACAGAGACCAGAGAGGTCGCGAGAAAGATGATGATAGTTGGGTTATGGTGCATACAGATGATGCCTGAGAACCGCCCTTCCATGAGCGAGGTGGTGGAGATGTTGAAGGGGAGCGCTACAGACTTGCGAATGCCACCAAGGCCATGATGTGCTTGATGAAAATTTTGTCTTCAATCATAGATACAAATATGTGATTGATGGAATGTAAAATTATCACTCCATATTTGACAATATCATAGTCTTATATCAAAGATCTCTTCTGTCACTCATCTCTTCAAGCTCAAGTTGCCTCCAGCTTTTTGTCGATCACCTCTGAGCATATCTTGCCCATCATGTGATAGAAGGAATGCAGTTCCGACAACTGCTCGATGGACATCTTCTCCATCGTAATCCTTGCTGCCGTCTTCCTCGCCTCGTTCATCTTCATCTTCTCGAGATAGAACGACGCGTTCCTCACCGTAGCTCCCATCTGCTTCAGCCTCTTCTCCTGCTGGGGGTTCAGTGCCGCATTTGCCTGGACAGAGTAACAACACAGAGCGTAAGACAGCAGCCCGTGTTCTCTGCAATCTTTCAAGCTTTGCACGGCGTTACATTACCTCGAGGAATTCGGCTCCTACTTGGAGGTCTTGTTCTTTCGCCGGAGGCATCTCCTGCTTAGAAACGTACACATGCTTTGCAAGTGAGAAGCTCCGAACGATGTTCTTCCTTTTCTCCTCCATTTCCTCACCCAGCCTCTGGCAATTCTCGATGTCGGCTGTGCTGCTAACCTTCCTCTGGTATGCGATCACTGCCTTCACAAACTCCTGCACGACGAAAACGCCATGAACACCAAGAACACACGATCATCCAAGTCTTCTGATCTAAGTCGCAGACATTAAAGCGATTTGACCTGATAAGCAGCAGGGCATCCTGGATAATCGAACTCCTCTGTTCCAGGCCGTCTCATGCGCTCAGGATGGAACTGCAAGCCCATGATGAACTTCCCCTCCTCAGGGTTGTAAGCAACAGGATCGTAGAACCCCTCGATGAAGCCATCCCTTGCAAACGCCATCGGAACGAACCGATCCGCCAATCTCTTCACCCCCTGGTGGTGATAGCTGTTCATCCAGATCTCCGTCTTCGCCTCCTCCAACGAGTCCCGAAACCAAGCATGCAGCGGGGAGTTCTCAACCACCCTCACCGGATGCCGGTGCCCGTCATAGTCAGAGTAATCGATGTGAACTGTGGCGTTCCCCTCCTCACACTCGGTCGCCATCTCCTTCTCGATGTCCTGGTACAATGTGCCGCCGCAAGCGACGTTGAGGACCTGCGAGCCCCGGCAAATGCCGAGGAAGGGGATGTTGCGCTCGAGGCAGAGCCTGGCAAGCCAGAGCTCGATCGAGTCCTTTTCGTGGTCGATGGCGGTGTCGCTGGCGTGGAGGCGGCGGACCTCCTCGATCTCCTCGAGCGATAGACCGGAGAAATCAGCTGCACCGTAGAGCGCAGGGTTGATGTCCTCCCCCTCGCAGAGGAGCACGCCATGTATCGGCTCGAAGCTCTCCAGCAGCATGTGTATGCCACCGACTCGCGGCACGATGACCGGGACAGCGCCGTAGGCCACAATAAGATCAAGATGGTACACTCCTACGAGAATAGAGGCCGAATCATCGAATCTTGAAGCTATTGCAATGTGCAGACGAATGGATTCTTACCGACGAAGTCGACGAACTTGTTCTTGCGAACGGTCCGGCGAGAGACGATGAGAACTCGGGGAAGGATTCGAAACAAGTCGGACGAATCCATCTCTGCTCCTTTCGCGACTCGGCTTCCTCGCGTTGCCCCTTCCCGTTGCCATTTATACTGACCTGAAGGATGGGATTCACCCTCATCCGGCACCGCTTTTCCTACGCGTTTGAGATAACAGCAAAGGGGCCCGCGTTTCACCAGTCTGTGTGGTCCGCTACCTCCAATAAAAAGGCAGGTAGTTTGGCGTGTAACGTTACATTTCCGCTTCACCTCAGTTGCTATTTTGGCGGAACAAGGTATCATCTACACCTCTACCGCCACGATTTTTCCTCCTTCGGCGAGCGGCCGACGTCCACGTGTGAACTTCACGAGGATTCCTCGAAAGCGACGGGCTGAGTCAGGCTGATGTGGGTGGTTTAATTGCGACACGCGCAGGTGATCCGTCGGTGATTCGCTTCGAGGCGGTGCGCGGGGGAGGCGAGATGCCACGTGGCGAGCGCAGAGCGTCGTTTGGTGTGCCGGCAGGTGTATACGGTGGCGGTTACGAGTCATCGGGTAAGTCATCCATCACGTGATAACACGCGCACGCTCTCTCGTTTATCTCCGACAATAATAGTGACCGAAGCTATTGATCACAGTCAGCAGCCACATCAATACTAACGTGGAGCACAGTCATCAACTACATCAATACTAACGTGGAGCCTCAGAAATGACATGATGCACTGCATCGATATGATACCTCAGAGTCAAATGAAATGGCCACTTGCTCTCGCATTGTTCGTACAAGACGACGTCGCATGATACAAGCCATTTCGGAAAGCTTGAAATGATGTTTTACGACTCGAATCCAAGCAGATCGATCGATGCTCGCATAAAAGGTACAAGTGACCACTCGAGGAGTCGATGTCCATTAACAAATTATGCACGACCAATATTCGTTCGCAAATATAAAGGCTAACTTCCTTATCGACGTCAGAGGTCAAACTAGGAACACTCAAACTCCTCGTAACACCACTCAACATTGACTTAAACTTTGAGGGAATCGAGTAAAAAAATTCTCCTTTCGACTTCAGCTTGTATGTAGGAACTCAATGATGAAGGAACAACAACCTGATTAGGGAGGAAGAGTAATTTCTTGCTATACTTCGGATCAATTCTAGAGACGAAGCTTGGACTCGACCTAACGTCAACCACCCTTATTCGTGTAGCCACATGAACGATTTTACGTACTCGAGATCGAACCAAACTGTACTGACCCATCGGTCACGACATAAATAATCAAATATTCTTTTAAATTATGATTATATCCATTCTAACAATTTAATAAATAAATAAATAATTTTTTTAAAAAATAAAACTAAAACAAGTGATTCGAGTTTGGAATCAGAATCATTAGTTCTTGCACCGTAAACTCTGATTACAGATTCTTAGCTCTGCCTTGGCAAATAGATTATATGTATATATGTATAGCAAGCAGTGGCTTTACATAGAAAAGCAGTAATCACTGACCAGGAAACGACTTATGATGTGAGGCATTCATCCTCGAATCCACAGCCAAAAAGTTCAGAGAAAAGCAATTGGTGTGATGCACCTCAACAGTGAACACCTGCGTCAAGACAAGGAGAGTACTGTTCACAGCAACACTGTTGCCATTCCTGAAGACTTTCGATTTACTACAGAGCAATGCGATGATGTATGTATTGGCAATCAAAGTCGACAAAAAATGTGGAAGAAAATGCTGATTTTATTGTTTCTAACATTGTTAAAGCTGCTGATTCCTATGTTATTTTGACTTGATCTTCAAAGTGTAATCTGTTGTTCTCACATGTAAAGAACAGTTGCCTAACTCTTATGTTAACATTAATGACTGTAGAGGTGTTGGTGGAGACTACAGAGATGAGTCCCTTAACACTTGACTTATCAAACTGCTAATGGCTACAGATATTATAAGTGAAGGGGTACAAAGTGCAATCATATCCTGGAATCCATTCCATTCCATCTTTTGAGGCAGATGAGACCAATTTGCATCAAAGAATCAGCAAAGGGAGCACAAGTTTTCCTCTTCCCTTCTTCCTTTCTGCCTGTGCAGGGCACCTCTTTTGTGGACACACACAGAAAACATATCCTTGGGAGTAGGCTTTTGGAAAGGAGGAATCAGAGTGGAGTTCCCATCATGAGGTTTTCTTTTTGTTAGTATTTTACTGCCATGGGAGATGGCTTATTGATTCCTTATGGGACAAATTGATTTGTTTATGCTCTTCTGCTCAAACTCAGTCTGCATCTCCTGACACAAAATTATGTCAGGTGGGTGTGCCATATGAAACCAAGCTGATACTATATGCTTTGCCATCATCAACTGTGTGGGTTTATGAAGACAAGCAGTCATCCCACAGTGATATATGGTGAGCAATTTTATGATTTTGAAGAAAAATATAGGAAAAGAAATTATGATTACATCAAATATATTATATGTTCTTTCTTTTTCCTCCTCTGATGATATTTGAGAGACTTCCATCTCTCTCTCTCTCTCTCTCTCTCTTTCCCAAATAAAGAGCCTCACTTCATCACTGCAGTTCTCT